ACATAAATCCTGGACTATGGTCAATATTTCCTTAAGAAAGAAGACAAATGAGATGTAGTGACTTTCCGCGACGGATATCCTGTGGCGATTCCTTCTTTCATTGCATTCTCAAACCATTAATGATATCCTAGAGAGCTTTTTTTGAAACAATCCTAACGTACTTTTCAAGGAATTGGAACATCAACTCGCAACATTCAGATCAAGAAGCCATTACCTACCACATGCCTTCCATCAGTTTATCGTGTGATTTTTGATGTGTTGATTAACACGTTTTGAGTTTCCCCCTTAGTTGCCTTTATACGAATTCTCAGGACAATTTGCCTGGAATCTACATACAATAATTATTATTCTCGAAAATTAACTAATAATTCTTGTAGATTTCGGCCCGCAGAAGTCACTTCCGGACTCATTTCTTCGATAACTTCAACCGTTTTTCCAGAATCTGTCGAAATATAGAAATTTTGGGAATGTTTGCAACAATTTTATTTTAAACTCGAAAATTTTGAAAATATTGGGCTGTGGCGATTTTTGACGTTCTCCGGCTTTTTTTTATATTGGGGGGTCCTTTGGGCGCCAGCTGGGTAGTTAACCCAACAAGGAAGGGGACGAACGGACAACAGACTAATTTTCAGTAACTTTATATTAACAAACGCCCTTCGCGAAATGGTACCACCTCTACGATCTTACATGCTAAGTACTTTCCGCAACTTTACGTAAGCTCTTTCCTGGTGAAGCACTTCGGAGCGATTTTCTTATGTTCAAAGCTCCCCTAGGAGATGTTACCATAGTATGGGACAGCAACGATGGAGACGGCAACGAACCACGAATCGACGAATATGGGACAGTGACGACGGAGACGACAACGAACCACGAATCGATGGGTATGGGACAGTGACGACGGAGACGGCAACCAACCACGAATCGATGGGTATGGGACAGTGACGACGGAGACGGCAACCAACCACGAATCGATGGCACCCGTACAAAGAACCTAGTTCCTCCTTCTATTTAAATATTCTAGGCCAAATAGGGACTCACCTAGCTGTTCTTGGTTCCTTATTTTGCCAAAATCTCGATTTTCACAGCAATTCACTTCGCTCAAAAAACGCTCTTCACCTCCTCTTTTTCTCGCCGCCCGTAAAAACCGACCCCACTCTTCCGCGACCTTGCTCACCGAGCGCGCTTAGATTTAAAAATCGTTACACCCCCTCAAGTTACCAAAAAAAAATTTTTTTTTTTTTAAGAAATGAACATAAATTGAAACTAAATAAAAATAATCCAAAATAAGTAGAAATATAATCCATAGTACTCTTGCAGTGAAAATATGAATGTCACAATCAGGTTTGTTTCGAAAAATCCAAAATAGGTTTCGGGTATACCCAGTCAAAATCGGGAAAAATTAAAGAAACTTCTACATTCAGTCCACCATGCGCTATCTTTCACGAGATCATCCAGACTTCTCCTATCACTCCATCTCATACATACTTATTTCTAAACGTCACAATCGGGAAATACTTATTAAGCGTCATCACATGGCTTCAAATCTTTTACATGCCAGCGTCCTATATCTTTGCCAGATTCGTCGGCGAGTTGATACACCAAAGGAGACACTTTCTTTGTTATGACACATTCAATGAATCTTGGAGCTAATTTAGACGAAAACTTCTTAGAGGCGTCAGACAAAACGTAATTTCGTTTCCACACACGATCACCTGCATGGTACACATCAGCTTTTCGACGTCTCAAATTATAAGAATGGCAATTCTTCTGGTAGGCTTCTTTTAGTTTCTTTGTCACCTCCTTATAAATTCGGTCCAGGTTTCCTCTCTTAGAGAGATATTGAGCGACATTCTCTTTATTAAGATCCCAGGAAGTAAAATCAGAAGGGACTTTACCATAAAACTCACCGCTGGAGGGAACATATCGGCCAAAATTTATAAATGTAGGGCTCAATCCGGTGGATTCATGCACTGCTGTTCGCAAAGCGAAACCGATTTTGGATAATTCAGAGTCCCAATGCCGATGATCTTTACCTCGCAAATAAGATCTAATTGCGGCTCCTGCAACTCGATTCACGCGCTCAACGCTATTCACTTGTGGATGGTGGCTTGCATTAAACCAAATTTTTGATCCATACTCAGATGCAAATCGTCGAAACTCATGGGATGTAAATTGCGTTCCATTATCACACGTCCAAATTTGAGGTGCTCCATAAACAAGTACGACTTCATTCTCTAAGTAAGAGATAATGCTTTTATGATCTGCCTTACGCAGCGGATGAAGAAGGATATATTTGGAAAAATAATCTGAAACCATCAGAATATAACAATGTCCTTTGACTGAACGAGGGAGAGGACCTAGAAGATCTACAGAAACAATCTGCCACGGACACCAAACTTTTTTTGATGACCCCATCAAACCAGGAACAGACATAGACGACATTTTTTGGGCAGCACAAACCTTACATTTCCTGACGTATCTTTTGATGTCGGCCCGCATTCGTGGCCAATAGTACAGTTCTTGAACACGACAAAATGTCTTAAACACACCCAAATGAGAAGCAGTCGGGACATCATGACAACTCTCTAAGACCGCATTTCTACGATGCTTGGGAACCACGACTTTCCACGCCGGAACCAGGTCATTGATTTGGGACAACTCCGGGAGGTGTTTATATAACGTGCCGTTTTCAACGCGCCAGTCTGCAAACTGCGTAGGTTTCGACGTAACGTCCTCGATCAATCCACGGTACCAGAGATCCTTTAAATTATCTTCCGCGTCAAAGTGCAACAAACAAACTTGAGGATTCTCTATTGGCGACCGGCTTAACGCATCTGGCACTACATTGGAAGCTCCTTTACGATGTTCTAAATAAAAATCGAACTGCTGGAGTTTAACAGCCCACCTCGCAAGTCTCCCACTCGGTTCCTTCAGATTATGCAGCCATAGCAGGCTATAATGGTCTGTCACCACCTTGAATTTAACACCTTCCACGTAGGGTCGAAACTTCTCTATTGCAAACAGAACAGCCAGAAGTTCTTTCTCCGTTACTGTGTACTTCCTTTCAGCATTGGTTAAAGTACGGCTTGCAAACGCAATAACAACTTCTTTGCCCTCAACATCCTCTTGACTTAGAACGCAGCCTAAACCTAAATCCGAAGCGTCGCACTGGATGGTGAAAAGTTTCTTGAAATTCGGAGCTGCCAGAACGGGCGCCTTAACTAACTCTTCCTTAATCTGTGTAAAGGATCTCTCGGCTTCCTCTGACCAAATAATCCGGTTGGCTTTCCGTTTCCCTTTTATAAGTCCGGACACAGGTGCCGTGAGTGCCGAAAAGTTAGGGATGAACCTTCTATACCAACCTACTAAACCAAGGAACCGCTTAACTTGTGTCACAGTTTCAGGTCTTGGAAACTCTAACATAGCCGAAACTTTATCCGGATCTGTACGCAGACCATCTTTATCTAACAAAAACCCTAGATATCGCAAAGAATCCCGACAAAATTTACACTTATCCAGGTTTATAGTCAAGTTAGCGTCCTTCAACCGTTTATAAACTTCTCCAAGTATATCTAAGTGTTCTTGAAATGTAGGGGTGGCAATTATAACATCGTCCAAATAGACAAACACAAAAGGCTCTAGAGAAGGTCCAAAGATCGTATCCATCAAGCGTTGCATAGTCTGAGCTGCATTACTGAGACCAAACGGTAATACGTTGAATTCAAATAAGCCTCGAGATGGCACAACAAATGCAGTTTTCTCGCACGAAGAAGGGTGCAAAGGAATCTGCCAAAACGCTGACTTAAGATCAATGCTAGAAAGATACTTCGCTCCTGTCAACATATTTAAAATATAATCAACTCTTGGCAAGGGGTAAGCATCTGGTTTTGTAACTGAATTGAGCTTTCTGCCATCGAAGCAAAAACGCTTCTCACCATTAGGCTTGTTCACGAGCAACACAGGAGAAGCCCATGGACTGGAAGATGACTGGACCACGCCTAACTTCAGCATTTGATCTAGTTCCTTGCATAAGTGCTCCAACATGTAAGGCGAAAAATTGTGATGCCTCTGCTTGATTGGGGTGGCATCTCCAGTATCAATATGATGCACCATCTTTGAAGTACGGCCTAACTTTGTTCCTTCCTCCCATGACAGTTCCTGAAATCTGGCAAGGACTTGATTAAATGCTTCCCGTTCGGAAACAGATAAATCCAACAGCGATTGAACTTGGGTATTGACAGAGATCTCTGGCAGTTTATTATGTTGCAACAGCGACAAAGATGAACTGTCCCTATCGACACAATACATATTTTTACGGTAATTCACCTCTAATCCAAACTGACGACAAAAGTCAACACCAAGAATGAAGCTGTGTTTAAGTGATGGAACTAACCACACCTTTACTAGACCGAAATGACCATCAACTACAACTGGAAGAATAACGTAACCTGCTACTTCCTGTGGCTTTCCTTCAGCTGTATCTATATTGGGTAACGGAGGATCGTGAACTGTCAGGTTGAATTTTTTCACCCACTGGATACCATCCTGGCCAAAAACTGAATTGGTCGCGCCACTGTCGAGCAAACCCGTAATGGAAACACCCAAGACTTGAACGGTTATGTATGGCCTGTTATCATTTTCACGTTTTGCTAACAACGCTTCTAGCCAAGCAAAATTATTTTCAGCGTCTGACTTTATACCGATGGACTTACGACTATGACAAAAAATAGATTGATTAGAATGATGACAGGAAGTTAACGGACACCCACGCCTAGACGATGAAAATCGATGATTGTTATTTTGAGTAGGGAAGTATTTGGCACTGACTCTCTTCTTATTATTAAAGATGCTAGATAATCTATTGGACTCGCTATGAGAATTGGAAGGACGGCCGTAAAAATCTTCAACAACTCTCAACCAGTGTTTCCACTCTTTGGAAGGACAGCCACCAAATTCACACGACAGGGAGTGCCGACCGACTCTCACTCTCTGCCGACGAACTAGTTTTTTGAACAAGAGGGGCAGTTTGGTCTAATAAAACCTGGTCTACCACATCCTCTGCAAATTGGACGTTGGCGACGACTTGGACAGTTGCGTGAAATGTGTCCCGTTTTTCTACAATTATAACAGGTAATGTCTGAAACTGCGGCGACGCTGGCACGACGTGAGCTGTTAGAAGGACCGGCATGTGGAGCTTCAACTAAGTTATACGCCAAATCAGGTTCTAGCAAGGCAACAGAGCGTCTAGGTGGTGGTTGAAATCGCCTTTGTTGCTCGAAAGAACTTTCTAGAGTACGGCAAATGTCTGCTAACTGACGAACACACTGAATGGACATTAGTGCTAAGTGATCTTGAAATGCTGGCAATAAATTTCTTCTTATGGTCTTAAGCTGAACATCCTCTGTAGGAACTTCTGATAACCGGCCAAATAAATTCTGCATATAAGCGATATATATCGTTACTCGTTCTTGTTGCCCCTGAGTACGGTTTCGAATCTCTCTCCATAGGTCATCATCAAAGTCCGAAGGAAGAAAATCTCTTCTCAACGCAGCGACTAATTCCTCCCAGGAATTAATTGAACCCCGTACAGATCGGTACCAAACTAAAGCTTGCCCTTGGAATAAGTCCACAGCAGATCTAAATAATTCTTCTTTCGATGTACCGCGTGCAATCCTTAGCTCCTCAATTCTCTGTAAGAATGAACTGACTGACTCCTGGGTCGATCTACCGTCATAAACAATACCCCATTTGTACACAGGCATACTTTTTACCGTCTCCACAGCTCTCGACGAATTGTCTGTCCTACCTACAGTCCTTACAACTCTGTCAACATCGCTGACCTGCTCCATTATTTGTAAGCGCATCTCCTCCAAGGACTCTACTAGAATAAGATTATCCTCCTTGTACGCCTTCTGGTCATCCTTATCTTCACCGACCTCGAATCGACGAATGCGACCCATCAAATGGTTGACCTTGGTTTGAATTCGTTTGTCCATATCCGTATTTATCCCGTCATACACACTTAACATTGTGCGTAGTTCTGCGATGCTCTGGTCCACTTCTGCCTTTTCTAAATCAAAATCGAAATTAGGTGTACTATATTGCAAATTCGGCCTGTTCATGTCCTCTCGTAACTTCCTTCGAAGATATCTTCTTTTGGTATCATGATCCAGCCGTTCCGGGTTGGCGGTTCCTCTTATTTTTAATTCATGATTAAGCTCCGACGCTTTCAAATAATTTGTTTCCATATCAAAAATCGAATTCATTTTGAATCAGTAATCGAGTACTCCAAAAAGACGGGAAACTTAAATGAATTACTATTAGAGTACTATACTGACATAAAAATGTCTCAGTTGTCCGTCCTAAGGATAAGGATGGGTAAGTAAAAATTAGAAACCCCCACTCTATAGCAAACAGTAAATAGATATGACAAAAGCGCTGCTATAGCCCCACGTGTTTGGGCGCCAAATTTATATGTGGCGATTTTTGACGTTCTCCGGCTTTTTTTTATATTGGGGGGTCCTTTGGGCGCCAGCTGGGTAGTTAACCCAACAAGGAAGGGGACGAACGGACAACAGACTAATTTTCAGTAACTTTATATTAACAAACGCCCTTCGCGAAATGGTACCACCTCTACGATCTTACATGCTAAGTACTTTCCGCAACTTTACGTAAGCTCTTTCCTGGTGAAGCACTTCGGAGCGATTTTCTTATGTTCAAAGCTCCCCTAGGAGATGTTACCATAGTATGGGACAGCAACGATGGAGACGGCAACGAACCACGAATCGACGAATATGGGACAGTGACGACGGAGACGACAACGAACCACGAATCGATGGGTATGGGACAGTGACGACGGAGACGGCAACCAACCACGAATCGATGGGTATGGGACAGTGACGACGGAGACGGCAACCAACCACGAATCGATGGCACCCGTACAAAGAACCTAGTTCCTCCTTCTATTTAAATATTCTAGGCCAAATAGGGACTCACCTAGCTGTTCTTGGTTCCTTATTTTGCCAAAATCTCGATTTTCACAGCAATTCACTTCGCTCAAAAAACGCTCTTCACCTCCTCTTATTCTCGCCGCCCGTAAAAACCGACCCCACTCTTCCGCGACCTTGCTCACCGAGCGCGCTTAGATTTAAAAATCGTTACAGGGCAATGAACATAAACACGCCAAATTTTTGGAATCACCACGTCGAGATCTACATCCTTGAATTTTTTGAGAAATTTTAGACAATTTTTTTTATATTGAAATTTTTAAAAAACCATTCTTCAAATTTCAAGGCATTTTTCACTACTTTCGAAATTCAACTAAACACATGGTATTTTTTGAACAACACGATAAGCAAAAACATGTTTTTTTATTTCTTGTAGAGAAATAAGGATTTTGCAATTAAGCTCCTCCCCTTTGCTCACGACGAATAAAAAAATTATCACAATTGAGATAGGGTGGGTGGGCGGGGTTTACATTTTGCCATTTTTTTCTTAATATGTGTAGTCATTTTTTCACAACAACAAACCAATAACATGTTTAAAATGGTAAATTTGTATCAGGAAATATCAATTTTTCAATTTCGCTCCGCCCCTCGCTCTGACAACAAATGAAAAATTCAACACGGTTGAGATCGAGACGGATGGGTGGGGCTTCCTTTTGGTTTTCTTTTTTAATTAATTCATTTAGTTTTCTTTGCATAACACGATTACTTAAGAACATATTTCACCTGGTAATTATTCGTAGAAAGATATGGATTTTTACAATTAAGCTCCGCCCCTCGGCTTACGACGAATAAAAAAAGACATCAGAATTGAGATAGGGTGGGTGGGTGGGGCTTATATTTTTCTGTTCTTTCTTAATATACATAACCATCTTTTCATAACAAGAAAATTAAACCATGGTTAAAATGGGTTTTGCAAGGAAATATGGATTTTGCAATTATAGGACGGAGCCTATCGGAAAATCGATATTTTCTTATACAAATTTTCCATTTTAAACATCTTTTAAGTTTCATGTCGTGAAAAGAAGTCTACACATATTAAACAAAAAGGCAAAATGTAAGCCCGCCCACCCACCCTATGTCAATTGTGATGATTTTTTTAATCGTCGAGAGCCAATGGAACGAAATTTAATTGCAAAATACAATGATGTCATTTCCAAATATTTTAATAGTAAATTTGTTTTTTTTTTGTGGTGAGTTTTCACCCTGTACATTAAGATTTTTGGAAAAAAATCAAATTGTATTTTGCAATTTCGCAAAATCGCAACATCAAATCTGGTAATTTTTCAAAAAATCCGTCCATGTTTTTTCTTCGATTTTACTTTTTTTCTTTAATTCTTCAATTTTTTCATTTTTCAATGTTTCGGTTTCATAATTTTTCGTTTAATGCAACTTTGTTTTTTTCAATTTTTCAATTTCCCGGGATTACAATATCCAATTCTCAATTTTTACCCGGTTTTCGATTTTTCGGCTCATCAGGTTTTCAGTTTTAGAATTTTTCAACTTCTAGGTTTTTCAGATTTTTGAGTATTCAATTTTCCGATTGTCCTTTCTAATATTTTTTGAGTTATTGATTTTTAATTTTTATTTTTTCGACTTTATATCACAATTTTTCGTTTTTTCATTTCCTTTAATTTTTTAATGTTTCTTTCGATTTTGTGTTCTTTTCATTTATTTAAGTCTGCAAAATTTTCAGTCTTGGATTTTTCAATTCCTCCATTTTTCAATTTTTAATTTTCAATTATCCGATTTTCCTTTCTCTTTAATTTTCAATATTGACAATTTTTCGTTTTTTCGATTTTAAAGATTTTCAATTTTTAATCTTTGGATGTTTCAATACTGCGATTTCGCAATGTTTCGCCATTTCAGTTTTTGAATTTGTCAATTTCTCGATTTTTCAGATTTTTTATTATTCAATTTTCCGATTTTCCTTTCTTCATTTTTTTGAGTTATTGATTTTTATTTTCCATTTTCCCGATTTTTTAATTTTCATTTTCTCGATTTTATATCACAAATTTTCGCTTTTTTATTTCCTTAATTTTTTTAATGTTTCCTTCGATTTTATATTTTTTCGTTTATTCATTCGAGTCTTCAAATTTTCAGTCTTTGATTTTGGAATTCCTCGATTTTTCAATTTTTAATTTTCAATTATCCGATTTTCCTTTCTCTTTAATTTTCAGTATTGACAATTTTTCGTTTTTTCGATTTTAAAGATTTTCAATTTCTAATCTTTGGATTTTTCAATACTGCGATTTCCCAATGTTTCGCCATTTCAGTTTTAGAATTTTTCAATTTCTCGATTTTTCAGATTTTTGATTATTCAATTTTCCGATTTTCCTTTCTTCATTTTTTTGAGTTATTGATTTTTATTTTTCATTTTCCCGATTTTTTAATTTTCATTTTCTCGATTTTATATCACAAATTTTCGCTTTTTTATTTCCTTAATTTTTTAAATGTTTCTTTCGATTTTATATTTTTTCGTTCATTCCTTCAAGTCTTCAAATTTTCAATCTTTGATGTTTCAGTTCCTCGACTTTTCAATTGTTAATTATCTCAATTTTTAATCTTTCGATTTTTCAAGTTTTCAAGTTTATGATTTCCGGTTTTTAGATTTTTTAATTTTATACATTTTCGTGTTTTCATTTTTGATGTTTCAATTTTACAATTTTGCAATTTTTCCATTTTTTTTATTCGAAAAGTTGAAAAATCGAAAATTTAAGAAAATTTTAAAATCGAAAACTATAAAGTCGGTAAAAATTGATAAACTGAAAATCTGAAAATACAAAAAATAAATAAAGCAAAAGTAATGAACCGAAAAATTGGAAAACAGAAAAAACGAATCAGTCGAAAAATCGGAAATTCCAAAAATTAAAATCGAAAAATTATAGAATCGTGGAAATCGTAAAGCCGAAATACTGTAATACTAAAAGATTAAATAACCAGAAATTAAAATGAAAAATTAAAAACCAAAAAATTGAAATCACAAATAAATGAAAGTTTTTAAAATTATAATTTATACATATTTAAAATGAGAACTAAAAAAAATACAAATCAAAAATTGCAAAAACGAAAAATTACAAAAATCAGAACAATGAAAAACCGAAAAATTGAAAAAAATAGAAAACCGAAAGGAAAAAACGTAAATCGAAAAATTGAAAACTAAAAAAAAAAAATCGAAAAATTGTAACATTCAAAAGTTGGAAAATCGGAAAACTGAAAATTTAAAAATGAAAACTCGAAGAGATACATATCGTAAAATTGAAGAAACAAAAAAAATGAAAAATTGAAAAACTGCAGATCAAAAAATTGAAGAAACGAAAAACTGAAACTGCAAAACAAAAAATTATAAAAGCTTTTCCAATGATCCCCCATTCTTCAAATTTCAACGGATTTTTTACTATTTTCGTATTCTTTGAACAACACGATACGCAAAAACTGTTTTTTATTTCTTGTACAGAAACAAGGATTTTGCAACTGAGCTCCTCCTCTTGGGTCACGATGAATAAAAAAATCATCACAACTGAGATAGAGTGGGTGGGTGGGGTTTACATTTTGCCTTTCTTTCTTAACATGTGTAGTCATTTTTTCACAACAAGAAACGTAGAACATGCTAAAAATGGTAAATTTGTGTAGAGAAATATCGATTTTACAATTTGGCTCCACCGCTCGGCTTACGACGAATAAAAAAAGACATCAGAATGGAGATAGGGTGGGTGGGTGGGCCTTATATTTTGTCTGTTCTTTCTTAATATACATAACCATCTTTTCATAACAAGAAAATTAGACCATGGTTAAGATGGGTTTTGCAAGGAAATATGGATTTTGCAGTTATAGGACGGAGCCTATTGGAAAATCGATATTTCCTTATACAAATTTTCCATTTAAGTTTCATGTTGTGAAAAGAAGTCTACACATATTAAACAAAAAGGCAAAATGTAAGCCCGCCCACCCACCCTATGTCAATTGTGATGATTTTTTTAATCGTCGAAAGCCAATGGAACGAAATTTAATTGCAAAATACTCATTTTTTTTTTAGAACAAATTAAAAACATGCTTTTGAGTTTCGTGTTGTTCAAAGAATAGTATGTATGTATATTAGGGAAAAAAGGCAAAATATAAACCCCGCCCACCCACCCCATCTCCATTGTGATGATTTTTTATTCTTAGAAACGGAAGACACGTTTATCCATCCCGAATTTTTTGAGAATTTTTGACAACTTTCTTAAAAAATGAAATTTCTCCAATGATCCCCCATTCTTCAAATTTCAACGGATTTTTCACTATTTTCGTATTCTTTAAATAACACGATACGCAAAAACTGTTTTTTATTCCTTGTACAGAAACAAGGATTTTACAACTAAGCTCCTCCTCTTGGCTCACGATGAATAAAAAAATCATCACAATTGAGATAGGGTGGGTGGGTGGGGTTTACATTTTGCCTTTCTTTCTTAACACGTGTAGTCATTTTTTCACAACAAGAAACGTAGAACTTGCTAAAAATGGTAAATTTGTGTAGAGAAATATCGATTTTACAATTAGGCTCCACCCCTCGGCTTACGACCAATTAAAAAAAAATCATCAGAATTGAGATAGGACGGGTGGGGGGGGGGCATATATTTCGTCTTTTCTTTGTTAATCATAGCCATCTTTTCATAACAAGAAACTAAACCATGGGTAAAATGGTTTTTGCAAGGAAATGTGGATTTTGCAAGGAAATGTGGATTTTGGAATTATGGGGAGGAGCCTATTGCAAAATCGATATTTCCTTATACAAATTTTCCATTTTCACAACATGCTATATTTTTCATGTTGTGAAAAGAAGTCTACACATAGTAAAACAAAAAGGCAAAATGTAAGCCCGCCCACCCGCCCTATCTCAATTGTGATGATTTTTTTTATTTGCCGTGAACCAAGGAGACGGAACTTAACTGCAAAATACTTATTTCTTCACAAGAAATTAAAAACATGTTTTTGGGTATCGTGTTGCTCAAAATACAATGTATATTAAGAAAAAGAGGCAAAATATATACCCCGCCCACCCACCCCCACCTCAAATGCGATGATTTTTTTATTCTTAGAAACGTAAAATACATTTGAAATAGTAAATTTTTGTAAGGAAATATGGATTTTGCAATTAGGCTCCGCCCCTATGTCTGTCAACGAATGAAAACTTCATTACCATTTATATCAGTTTTGGGTTTGGGCGGGGCTAAATCTTTGGATTTCATTTTTTTCCTAACATTTCGAAAATATTGCGCGATGAACATAAACACGCTATAATTTTGGAGAATTTTTAGGCAACTTTTTTAAACATTAAATTTTTCCAATTCTTCAAATTTCAATCCATTTTTCACTATTTTCGAAACTCAATTAAACATATTTTCTTGTAGATTTCGAGCTCTAGAACTCACTTCCGACCCCGTTTCTTTGCAACTCCAACTGTTTTTCCAGAGTCGGCCATTGAAATATCGAAATTTTTGGAATTTTCGAAAAATTTGAGTTTAAACCACAACATTTTGGAAATGTAGAGCGTTGAACATAAACAGGCTATATTTTTGGAATCAGCACGTCAAGATCTATAACCCTGAATTTGTGGAGAATTTTTAGACTTTTTCAAAAATGAAATTTTCCACTCTGTAGCAAATTACGACCCATTTTCGACGATTTTCGAAATTTAACTAAATACGTTTTTTTGTGGCCAAATTTGGAAATCTAAATTATGTTTTGTCAACAAGTATTAAACCCCCGTTGGATTTGAAATGATTTATTTATGATGAGATACATATTTAATTGAATTTAGAACTGCTTGAAGTGGAAGTCTACATTAGGTCTAAAATTAGGTTAACTCTTAGTCGTTGTTGTTTGAAGTAAGCGTTACAATTTTTTGGACAAACTGTGTTTAATAACTTTATCAATTTCATGCTGAATGAGTCTTAGATGGTAGAATAACCTAATTTTCGGACTTTTTCTCAAGCCGTTAAAGTTAGAAAACTCCCGAGGGAATGTAAAGCGGATTATTCGATGTAATCTTGTGGGAATAAACGATATTGTTATAAAATTATTTTTCGAGCTAAATCAGATGGTCCGAGTAATGTATCTAACAAGATTGTTCAGGCAAGTGATACGTTGACGTTGCGACCGCACGTCGTCCAGGAAATCGACTAACGAGTATCAATTTATAGAAAATTGTTAAAGCAGTTTGGAGACAGTCCTGAAAAATTCCTCATTAGATTCTACACGCAATTTCGCGTCCTCGAACCAAAAATGAAAATCGGATGACAGCGTCGAAAGCGAGCTCGTTTTTATTCAATGACGTAACTGAATTTTAGCGAAGATTTGTCTCGAATCAGTAAGGCAATAGATGGTTTTTTGACTTCGTATAATATTTGAAAATAAAAAAATGAGCTGTATAAATTCCTGAGTGACAATTTTCAAGTTATTAAAAAAATTCAGTCAGCAAAACTTAATAAGCAAAATGCGTATTTTAAGTCTTTATTGAGCCACAAATTATTATTATCAATATTTAAGGCATAACTAACACGATGGAAACGTAAGATAAAGTAGTAGGCATTATCGGTTTCCCATTATAACCCAAATTTGTGCGATCAATTAGATCCTCATGTACACCATCGCCCACCCGCTAAATCTCCACGAAACTATCCCAACCCCTCCCACCCCAACATCGCGGAGCCACCGGAAACACGGCAAGTTTTTTCATAAATATCGCTCGGTCCGGAACAGTCGAAATAAAAAGTAAACGGCTTCGATGTCGCCGTCATTTCAAAACTAAACTTTTCAGTCTGCTCTTTATTGTTCGTCCAAAAGTTGGGATAAAAATGAAAGAGTCACGGCTTGTATCTCAATAACCAAGTTTGTGAATTGCAGTTAGGTGTTCCGAACCTTCGACGATATATTTCTTGTACGACGAAAAGGAGCCAAAACCAGTCAAAAACACGGACGTTAAATCATCGCCGGCCAGAGTTCTTCTGCATATAAATCAAACTTCTTATAGGCGGTATTTTCGGCGTTAACGCCAGGAAATAGGACATAGTAATAGCGGCGGCGTTTAAGAACACCGACGACAAAAACCCGCCAACTTTATTGTATTAAAAATGTGAGCGGTAGTTTGTCTCCGCGCCGAGGATTTTGAGCCGAATTACTTGCGGTGATTTGTGGGCGGCGACAAAAAAAAAGGGTTATTGGGAATTTCGCCCGCCTAGAGCACCAATAATCTCTGCATAATAATCCCGACAGTAATCCCCGGTATCTCTTACTTGAATTGTATCAGATAATGCTATCGATTCATTTGCAGTATCGGCACAGATAATTCGGATAATTTAAAGCAAATTGCATACACAATCGCATTTCACAGTCCGGAGACAGTATCTCCACCGAACCAGGGGCAATATAATGCGAGACGTGCTCGTTTGCAGGAAATTACGAATTTATTGTAACTTATTTCGGGATTCGATTCGAGAGGACGGACCTCCAGGCTTCCCAACTATGCCTCCACTATTAAATGGAAAGGAAAAAACAACAAGGACATTCAGAGAAAGTCTACGCTCTCGGCGAGACCATTCAGACAAATTGGAAAATATTTACTTAATTGCGACGAGTGAAAATTATTCCACGAATTCGGGACATGCGACGAGTTCGCGAAATCAATAAACGTGAAGTTAATTTGCGAATCTGGGAAATTTCAGCAATTTGCTCATAATTACTGGGCGAAATAAAATTCCTCCTCGAGGGTGCAACGTACCGAAATGGACCAGGCCAACTGGGTAGTAGTTGGCGAAAGCTGTTTCTGGGACAGGAAAACCGTGAATACCCTTGACTGCAGAAATACTTAATACACTAAAGCTCGACTCAGACGCATACAAAACTGCCGGTTTTCCTGCATGCTCGAACCTTAACAAATTGCCTTCCGCTAGTGTTTTATTCCAGTAGTCTAGTCCACTGCGCTTTTCATGCTTTGCATCTAAATCTGGTAATTATGTCAAAAAGCAAGAGACGACTACAGCGTAGCTGCTGAAACGTGTCAACATTTAACCGTGTTGTGAGACGAAGACCACGTTCAGCTCCCCATTAAAGACGTCCCACCGCGACTAAAACGATACAAGGTATAAGAATACAGTCTAAGTAAAAAAGCGCTATAACTCCGAGAACAAAAACTCCCGGAAAATTGTGTTGTTCGCATTATTTTAAATGCCCCCCGAAGATTACCTGTCCAAAACCACACAATATGATGCATCGATTCCAATTTGGAGCCACGAAAGGTAGGATCTGAAAGACGTTCAATTTAAAACTCTTATTGGAGACCTGTCATACGTTTCTATTTTTAGCAACAATTGCTGTACGGCACAAAATTGCATTTGCACGCGTTCCGAAGATTTTATACACGTATCCCCGGAATTATAATGGAATCTCTCCTGACAAACAATGTTAGAGTTACTTATCGCCTCGTAACTATTCACTTGAAGTGGCGCTAGAGATACGTCGTACATTCAACTAAATTGTGTAACCCAAGAACATAAGATACGTCTAGCTACTCCTCTCGAAATTACTTACATATAAACCGATTCGAAGGCACCGTCTTCGCGCATCGCAAAAAATCGAAAACCTAAGCAATACACGTTATCGTTTCCTCCGTTCGTCCTGGCATCTCGAAATCTGGCCGGGCATGTTTTTATTGTTGTATCGATTGTTCCGCAACGCAGCCACTTATAATGACAACGTTGTTAAAAAAGGGCTGGTAATCAATTCAAGAATTCGACGCGAACTATGAGGAGGAAAAAATGCGAGCAGTCACGCAAGAAAAGCCCGAAAATCTCCAAGTTCGCAAGGACACAAATACGGAGAGTTTAATTGTTCGAAAATAAATCGCTACGAAGGATGCGAGGGAGGTCCCATACGCACAAGTTCCGAACCACTTGACATTTCTCAGAGCGACATTACAGTTTAATTTATTATTACCCTTTCCGTCAAAATGTTAAAAGGTCTGTTTGTTCTGGCCATGTCCATCCGACTTGATCGAGTGATAATTGGCCATCCGGCTCCGTAAATGTCACCCGGGTTTTAAAAAACTCAAATATCCGAAGAGAAATTTTGTAATTTGTTATGTTGAACCAAATATTTCAGTCGAGGAAAACAAAACCAATTATTGTACCTCTGGAATGTACAGAAATCAGTCCCGGATTCGTTTTTAAGCAAATATAACCTTTAAAAGAGTTTTAGCACATGAAATATGCATTCGTACACCCGAACAACGCTACCACAAACCCCTTATCAAATAAAAGAGCGGTCCACTTGGCTCCAAAATTGAATATTTCAGAAACTGTGATCCGACCCCATGAACACGCCATGTTTACCGATACAACTTATCGAGATCTTTACTATAACAAAGCAAATTTTGGCGGGCGGGAAACCGCGATTAGGTTATCAGAGGCAGGGATTATTTTTCGTGACAGCCGCGCCGATGCGACACCGGAATCCGTCACTGAGTCTTGGACTGAATGCTGAGTGGCAAAAAGGTACCGTACATGTCCACTGTGTTACCGCCCAGGCGCGCCCGCCTCCCATTTCAGCGTCACCCCCTCCCGACGATCCGAAGCAGTCCCGTCGAGAGCGGAACTGTCGCCAGGGAGGCCAGAGGACGACCGTGACCCATTTTAAAATATTTCCTATGTTTTATTTTATTTTCTTGTTTTCGCGGGCTCTCACCACTTGGAGATCCATGTCTCCGGCTTGAGAGCAACCCCGGCGTCCGAGCACCGGCGCTCTCGACTTAAGCATCCCCGGTGGCGTGAAGGTGTCCGCCTAGGTCGGCCAGACGTGTTTCTATTCCAGCGGCACTAGTAGGCCCAAGGCTTGGCACCGAGGCACGCCGCCCCCACCGGAATTACGTCGCACTATATCTAGAACAAATCTAGGGAATTGGCAGTGGTCTTGAAAGTTAAGTGTGTTCCCGTAATAGGAGCTCGTTTCGCTCGCTGAAAACATCTACGAGATTTTAACTTCACTGGATCATAACGGCGAAATACATTCCATTTTTAGAAGCGACATAATCCAGATGATTTCTCTCTCTGAAAACAGTATCAAGTATCTCACGGTGTGGCATTTTTGAAAGTAACAATACAGCTCGCTTCGCTCGTTGAAATATGACTCTGTTTTAAAGATGATCTTGCATAAATCAAGTTATTTTAGGCGATGCAACGTTAATTTCACGCACTGACACCTTATCCACAAAGGTTCCGAAAGCGAAAAAGTGCCTGAATCAAACTCTTGAAGCTCCGACCGGAAACAGATTCTTGGTGTTCCTTTTTGAACAAACTAAGCCATTAGACATCGAACTGAACGCTTCTTTGTTTCCGCTCGATCGTTGCTGTATATGCAACCACTTCAGACTTGTTTTTTCGGCACATTAGGAATGCATCGATCATATAGCGTAACGTAACATGAGACTAAATTGATACCGTCGTGCTATTCTTTCTACATCGAATAGTACAGTTAGAGTTACACAATAACAGTCCCTAAACTCAAGCAATTTTCCGTCTTTTTCTTTCGCCGTCCTTGCGAAGAGCATAACACGTCTCCCCCGCACCTGTTAAACGGGTGAGAAACCTCTCCCCATGTCTCTACACCTGCTAATGCAACACAAAGCCCGTAATGTCGTCCTGGTGCAAATTGCTCACTCAATCGCGCCCTGATAACACGCCAATATAATCAGCAACGTCTTCCTGTTTGGCGGAAACTTGAAGCACCGCGTCTCGTTCCCACACGTTCCATCAGAAGTAGAACAGTTTTCGCCGTTCGTTCACCAATTAAACCGTGCAGGAAACGATTACGGCGCCGCTGAAAGCGGCCACACGAAAGAAACTACGACCATTTTCCCGGGCTTTTATTCGGATACGTTACCCGATGAACTCGCCACCGAAAAAAAGACAACACTAATTAAAGTTGCACAGTGAATAAACCGCGCTTTGATTGAGCGAGCGCGGGATCCGGATACGGATACGCCGCACTTTTCAACAAATGTATACGGCTTTAAAGTGCGACAGAATTGATGAGGTGCTTTTAAAGGGAGTAATTTCGTCTTTGTCAAAGGAACGATCGGTTTCGTGGAGGCGAAGGGTTTTGATGG